GGTCGGTATCGGCCTCAATCAATGAAGTTGAATTGACTTTTGCTGACAATTTCAACATTTGTTGTTCCATTTCATCTGGTTTTCCAAGTACATCTACGAGTACTTCCCATTACCTTCATAAGTTTTCAATCAGAATTAATTTATTTTTCATCGTAATACTCAATCCACAAGAACACTGAACAGATTTGTGGTCGCCATGTTGTTAATGTATGCTCATCAGTAGTAAATTCATACCTGCTAGGTCATGTATTTATTAGTTTAGCATGAAGGGTCCTGGGGACAAGATAAGCCATGTTGTCAAACTTTCATGTATTGAAATTAAAGAATAGGTTGAACGGTGGCCAAGGTTTTGTAATATTTTTGTTTAAAGAAAGATGACGTTTCAAGCCAGCACTCCTAGTCAGATCGTACAGCTTACAACAGCTTCTATACGCTTTTTACAGCTAAACTCACAAACACACAATCTAGATATATTTTACTATATCTCTCACTAACTTTGCCTTACTTCAACTACATTTTGGACAGGTATTTATAAATAGCAACTGAGGCCTAGAACTTATCATACACTATGAGATATTATGATGTATTAATACTCAAGAAAAACTTAGAAGGTTCTAAAACCTGCTACAATGATACAACAATAGTCAATTTACGACAGTTGAACCATACAGTGTACGATTTGTACGGTTACTCCCACCATACTTAAATTAAAATAGTCATGCATATCTAACAATATTCTATCCAGAATACAGCAATAAAAAAATTTTAAACTTGGCAAATTTTGTTCGATTGGTTGGGATATATCAACAGAAATTGGTGAAAATAAAAATTTCCCAGGTCATAATGTCAGAAAAATCAATCAATTGGCCCCAATTATAAAAGGTTGGTCGGGTTATAGCAAACAGAAATATTTTAAAGCCTCACCCGAGTGGGAAACACAAGTGTAAACAATCCCTCAGCTGGGGGCCCTAGCCAGCAGACGACGTAAGGCATAGAGAGATCAGCTGATTGTCATCTCTATGATTTTAACTTAATTTGGGTAATTTATTGATTTCATAACATCAACATGTACCATGTAAGTGTGTCTTGTATGTCATAATATAGTGAAATCTACAGCTACTTTATTGATGGAGAAATGACATTGATTGGGGACTGACTGTGAAACCTAATTACTGGGTGAAAGGGTTAATGTAAGAATGATTCAGTCGTACATACAGAAATTGTTAGCTTAAGTATTATTCCTTAGTCCAGCATTAGCTACCTTCAGGACTTCCCAGATCTGTTACACTTCCTCTATTTGGATAGAGCCAACAATTATCTCTTGACGCCGTCCTTGGAAACTGACCAAGAAACTATGTCTGTACAGGGATTAGATAGAGTTTCTCTGGAAGTTGTAAGTTCCATACCATTCATAATGAATTAATTTAAATTTGGAAGTACATTAAAATTTACTGTATTGATGTTGTTTATATCCTTAACCTGAGGTTTATATTTGAAGTTGTTTGTGTTTATGAAATTAATGATGTTGTTTATATCCTTAACCCGAGGTTTATCTTTGAAGTTGTTTGTTTTTATGAAATTAATGATGTTGTTTATATCCTTAACCCGAGGTTTATATTTGAAGTTGTTTGTTTTTATGAAATTAAGGAAAGTAAGCTGTGTTTAATT